CATATTTTTTGCACACACTGCATTACATTACATGCCCCGCCCCCAGATAACTCCGCCCCTTTTTGTCGCAACACAAGGGTACTTTCACATTAAACACATTTTACACTATATATAAATGTTATAGCAGTTTTTCACATTTTTCATTTATTTTGATAGATAGTCACCTATAATTTGACAGATCTATCCCTTGACAACGAGTTTACTATGTACTACACTTGACTCCGCCCCCGACGACTCCGCCCACCTATTAATAGTTTTACTGAAAATTTCGCCACTTTATAACTTTGTTCCGTGACATCTGTTGTTGATGATATTTTCACAGATATGATTTACACAATTTGTGATTTTTTTTGACCACCCACACTATCTCCACCCCTTCGGTCACGCTTCTTTTTTTGACATTTGAATGTTTTTTTGACTACTTTAAGTGTTTAAAAAATCGAAAAAATTAGAAAAAGCGGTTCTTATGACCCATGATGTCTCATGATCTCATGACTTTGTTATTTGAAGAACTAATAGTCAAATACAAGCCCCGTCCTAGAACTTCGCCTACTAACAAGTTTTTTATAACGTTTTTTCAATGTGTAATGTTCAGGTTTTGTGGGCGCAATCCTGCTCAATATGTTTCTCCTTGATATCTGACAGCGAGTGTTAAACTTCCGGTCACGAGGGCAACAATGTGATTGAATAGCAGCCCCTCCGTGCTGCTTCCTCCATTAGAGCGGAAATCTTGGTGGTCACTGGATCACTGCCAAAGGGCTTCGTAGTCGCGAAGTTTTCCGTTCAGCGATCCGTTCCCTGTGTTCCTTGAGATGTTCACTGGACATCACAAGTGATTTTTGTTAGTTTATTAGGTGTTACCACCTACAAAACTTTGGAGCGCCTTTGGGCCCAAAGGGGTGGAGGCATTTTTCTTATTTCGCTAGTTTCTCTACAGAATCCTATTAAGTGCATTGCTCACCGTAATAAGACCTAAAGGCTCTCATCAAGTGTAAACGATGCGCATTAACATCGGCATCGACAGGGGTCTATAGGAACCAGCGCAATGCCCTC